ATTTTCACTTTGATATTAAACTGAATAATATACTGCTAGACCCCTAGCATATAAGTACAGATTCTAGTTTTTCTTTAACTGGAGAAAAATGTGTTGTCTTATGTGATGATATGCCACATAATCTGCACCCCCCACTTTTCAAAATCCTAGATCTGCCCATGTTGCTATTGTTGCCACTACAGATTTAGTGGATATTTTAAAGAATTGATTATACATTCATCTTTGGGCAGAGAGCCACTGACTTTTTTGCCTGAAAACTTGTCTTTTATCTGACACAATACAACAAGCAGAATGACTTTGTACAAAAAGTAACACCAAGTTGCCTATTCTCCTCATCTTCACATCTCTGTGTTCCATCTTATATTAAACAATTTTATTTCTCATTGAGAGGGTTAGGAATGCTGGTGGGCTGTGAGTTAACTTGAATCTGGAGGGGATCTGGGACAGAAGTTCAATAAAACAATTTAACTTAAATCAGTTACATTTCAAAATGCATCCAGCCAGGTTTTGGCCATTCTGAAAGCAGTTTGTGCACTGAACGTTTGTTGTGTCACAGATTTGAACTGGTTCCCAATTGCTTATACCGGTTTGTGTGTAATTTTTGTCTCTAATTTGGTAAAGTTAACTACAGGGGCAGAGGTAGGTATAAATGGCCACATCTACGCATGTATATTAATGCTACACAATAAAACCTAGAATATATCATGTTGGACTTTATTGGTCCCAAGTGCTATGTGTACATGGGACCACAGCACATTGAGCCAGGTCAGAGCAGTCCCTGCTGGCAGAAGGCCTGGGGGTGTCAGCCTGCTAGCTCAGGACTGCTCTGATCCATCTTAACATGCTCCAGAGGGGCTGCCTGGGGCACAAACTACTAGCTGACAGGCAGCCCCTACACTGGAGTATCCTTGTGTCCCAGCCAGTCATGTCAGTGTCTACACATGTGTTGCTATGAAGTTAAAAACTCTGCAGCAGGGTAGTACTTGTAAGATGCGATGTTTATTAGGTCCCTGTGGCCTAATAGAGCTGCACGAGTAGACACCAAGACATTTACTGAAGAGCTAGTTAGTCTATTCTGGAAAAAAACATCTTGTGTAGACATGTCCAGAGTAGCCAGTGTAGTGTGTTACTCAAAATCACTCCTCTCTCATCAGCTAATTTAGAGAACATTAAAAATCTTGCAATAGTTTGAGCTTTCTTAGTATCCATACATAGCTGTCACTGAAGCCTTATTCATCACTTAAATGAGGGAAGGAGTCTTCATGGAGAGAAATTAAATCTATAGATTCGTTAAAAAACAAACCAAAAAAAAGCATGCGTCTCTCCAATGGAGGCACATAGCCAGATTTTATTTCATGTATTAGGGGCTAAAAGTGTGATCCTATTCCACCCTGCCAAATTCCTGGAAAAAATGTTAACATGCCTATTGTTGAAACACACCATCATCTTAGCCATCAGACTGAGTCACAATGAGCATCAAGCAGGAAGAGGGCTCATCTGTCTTGTATGTTTTCTGTTTTTCAGGGACTCGAGCAGAGTGGAATAGGCTCACACTTAGGCACCCAAGTCCATTTAGGTGCCTAGTAACTGGAATAGGAGCTGACTCGCTTCCTTTTACATATGACCCAGTTGCAGCTGAGTGAGAGAAAACCCAAGCCTTGATGCATAGGTTCTCACCATGGCAAAAAAATTAGTGTATTTGCTTATATACCACATGCTTCTTTTTCTAAAAATTGGTCCCGTCCCCTCCCCCCCCCAAATTAGGGTGCATGTCTTAAGTGAGGAAGCTGATTATATGTTGCTGGAACAGAAGCATGGAAAAATAGTTATCCAGACACTACTGTATGATGCCTTCCTCTGTCATCATCATGGAGGGAGGTGATGGAATTCAGTCTTCAAGGTCAGAGCTTGCCTTGTTCCCCCTCTCACTGCCACAGCCACTGTTATCAGGATTCCCTGAAGTCAGCATTCAGGCATGACTGGGAAAGTCTTTTTTCTTCATTTTGCCTTACCAAAACAAGGTTTATGTTTCACTTGGGGGCATGTGCAGTAACTGAAACTGATGGGTTTAAATGCCTGAAAAATCAACTAAAATTTGTATTGTTGAAGGTCATGTAAAGTACACGTGAACATTTCTTAATTATTGGAGCAGACTTTTTTACACTATAGCCCTCTAGTCTTGGTTCCTTGCTTACTGTAAATTAATGGAGCACGTATAATTAATGTATAAATAATTCAGGAAGAAACGGCAGTTCAAAAATAACTATTTTTTTTTTTCAAGCAGTTAATTATAAACAACAGGCAGCCTTAAATATTGTGGAAACTAAAAGATGCCAAGATTTCTCAAGACAGATTTAAACACACACACACACACACACACACACACACACACACACACACACATATATTAAGTGAAGTGATCATTTAGTGTATTTTTCTTACGTGGAAAAATAAGTAAAGAATTCAGTCTTTAATCCAAAGCTTTGGCTATTTAATCAAGTAAATAAGAGAGCCAGTCATTAAAGCTTGTCCTTGGGCAGCTGAAAGAAATGTTGGAAAAAACTTTTTTTTCTTTTTTACAGGAATTTATAATTTAGCTATCTAAATTTTCTTCAAGCAGATACTTATTTAATGATTTTTTTTATCCTGTGATATTTTCTTAAGATACAAGGAATTTTGACCTACTTTATACATAGCCAAAACAAAGTTATATTACTTATTTCAACGGTTTTCAGGCTAATTAAGCAAAAATAACTCTGGAATTAAAAAAAAGTGGGGGAACTACATTAAAGAAGCAGCATCTTACTATTTCAGTCTTGTGTTGGGATTTATGTAGGTTCTCATAAAAAAAAGTTTGGAATTTTTTGAGATACATTTCAATATTTGTCCTGTTGGTTTGTCTTGTACATCTGGCTGAATAGCTGCAAGGGTAGAGAGAGCCATCAAAATGTAGCAGTGCTTTATTCCTAATGAAATAGGATTGGACGGCTGTTTATCACATCAGTAATCCCTGACCCAGTCAGTTCCTTCTGTTTAATTTAAAAAATACATGTAGAGTAGTTGTTATTACACCTTGAGCTCGTACCCATGTTGGCTTTAATTTTCATTAGGATTAGTCAATATACGGTATTTACCTGAATCCAAGGTGATTTTAAATTCAAGGTGATCCCTTCCCCCCCCACAAAGGTGTTATAATCTTCCATGTATAGAATCTAACTATTGGAGAGTCATCTTAAATTCCCCCCTCCCCCCATCACCACTGCAGGGGGACAGGTGGCAGGAGAGACAAGTTTCCTGACTCCTTACCCTTGCTTATGCTATTTGTACCCTCAAGCCTGCTCCCCTGCCACTCCCCCCACACCCACTACCACGTTTGCCTCTCCTCTTCCCCCCTGCCCAACCCCCCACTTAGCCTCCACAGCTCCAGCTCTGACTCCACTCTGGTCTGGGACACGGAGCACATAGTTGCTTCGGCCTCTGCTCAGCCATGCAGCAACAGTACTGACAGCAGCTCCAGCCCTAGCTTCCCAATAGTTTCAGCTATTTTACTTCATGAAGGACTATAAATATCTTTACTCATGTAGCCCAATCAGTGAGCACATAGCAAGCTATTAACTTTAACAAGATCTGTGGATCAAACCACCAGGGTGTTAATGACTGCCACCATCAAACCTGGAACTTAACAGTATTAAGGTTAAAGACACCTAAGGGATTTCCTACTCATTGCATCTACTTTTATTGGTGAAAATGTTGTACATGCATCAGATTAAAACTTTTCCTATTCTATCATCTCTTTTTTTTTTTGTCACTCACTCACTCCATCTCTCTAAAATACACATTTTAAAATCTTTGAGAGAGGACCCTGTGTTCTATTGCCTGTGAAGTAGCGATACATTTTTGGAGGCTTTGTCATCATAAACTGTCCTGTAGGCTGTCCCAGGCTCAGAACTGCTGTTTCTGGGAGCCCTGTGGTTCCTCCATGGACTGTAGCAGCCCCCAGCTTGGTGTAGGGCTGCTGATATCACTCCCCTTTATAGGAAATGCAGGTTGCCCTAGAGTAGGTGACGAATTGCATTGCATTGCAGGGATGGGCTTTGCATTTGGCAGGGATGGGAGTGGCCTACAGTCCCTTGATATATGTATATTTTAATTGAATACTGTACACTGTTTATTTGGGGAAGAAGGGAAGGAGGAGTGGAGGGGGGGACAACTAGTATGAAAGGGGGAAGTATGCCCCATTGTGCCCCACTGTGGAAGGGGGAAGTATGGATTTGGGAAGGTCATTAAGGGAATGGTGTGAGGCAGGAGAGAGGGTGGGGTAGGATAGCCATGGCCTCCCTGTGACAGATGGAGGTATGGACTTGGGTGGGACATTAAGCTGGGGGAGACTTACCAGGGTGTGAAGCAGAAGAGTGGGAATAGGTATGGATGGGAGGGAATATGAAGAAAAAAATCTTTCTCTTTTATAGAGATAATGAATAGGGGTTGAGGAGGGAAGGGGACTCCCTTCTTGGGGAGAGGTAGCAGAGTGGGAGTGGGGGAATTTCTTTTGCTACACTATCATATTTTAATATTTTATTCTGTCTTGGTATGCTATTTTGTCTTTTATTGTAACCTACCCTGAACATCTTTGGAGGGGAAAGAAGCATGTAAATCTAACAAATGAATGAGGTGAAGGAAAACCTGGAAAGTTTTAGGCACAACTATTCCATTCTGTTCCCTTTGTGTGACAGAATAGCCAATACCACTCCTGTACTCTGCATTTGTATTTGCCATGATTAAAACTTGTGTCTCACCTTCAAATGTATATTTCTTACATTTTTGCTGAAAGTCATACCTTAATATTTATTCAGAAATTGTTATATTCAAATAGAGGATGTATTTTTTCTGCTAGTCCTTCATTTTTTAAATATTTAAACTCTATAAAATAAAAATGCTCTGTTCTACCAGAGCATATCCCACATGATTAATTTTTGCAATTTGTTTGCTTTATATCTAAGCTGGATAATGCAGATGAACAAGCAGCTCAGATCAGACGTGAGCTAGATGGACGTCTACAACTGGCAGAACAAATGGCAAAGGTAAATTTGTTTGTCACTTTTATAGCTACAGATTTGTAGTGTGTGCACGTACTTACATAATGTCCATTTTTGACTGCTGTAACCTTTGATCCTTTGAAGAGGAAATAGGCAGGAAGAGGAAATAGGAAATACAAATATACATTTGTAATATGCAACAGTGTGGAAGAAAAAACTTCTATCTAAAATAATCTGTTACAAAATAAACCACACTTCCTTGATAATCAGATCATTATATTATAGAAAACTTCTTTCATTGTCAGTAAACTTTAATGGAAAGTAAAAAAGGAGGGTATAAATTTGTGTGCATGCATGTGCGCACATGTTGAACTGTTCATGTAAGCAATTTTTTTATGTATGCATTTAATGTAGTGGGAAGGGTTAAAATTTGGGATAGATTTTGGCATTGCATGTAGTAAAGCCATGAGTGAATTTAGCAGGTAATCTAAATCAGAGGATCTCAACCTTTTTCTTCCTGAGGCCCCACTAGCATGCTGTAAAAGCTCCATGGCCCACTTGTGCCACAACAACTGTTTCTCTGCATATCCAGTGTGTGGGGGGAGGGCATAGGTGAGGTGAAGGGGGCATAGGGATACATTAGGGGGGCATAGCTTCTTCCCCAGATTTTTGTGCCCACAGTGGGCACTGGGCTGCAGCCTGGGTAGACCAGCACAGGGAGGAACTTCCTCCATGGCCCAAGAGGCAGGACCTGGTGTGGAAGGGCTGAGCAGGGCGGCAAGACTTGTTGCTGGCACCACCAGGACCCCCACACCTTCCATGTGCCAGTAGCAGCTCAAGGAGTAACAGGCTGGAGCAAAGGGCCTTGCTGCCCTCGTCTCCTCCCACTATCAGCTGCTAGCATGCTGGGCCGCAGCACTACCCTGCTGCCATGACCCAGCCGTTGCTTCCCTCATGCCATGAATTTTCTGTGGAGGGGAGGTGGGGTGGGGTGTAGTGCAGACCCCCTGAAACCTGCTCACAGCCCACCAGGGGGCCACAGCACCCCAGTTCAGGACCACTGATATAAAGGACAGCAGCTAAAATAGGGAATACTATTTATGACATTTTAGAAAAAATGCTAATTTATTTTTTGTATCTTTTTTATTATGGGTGGAAGTTAAGGGATTATGGGTGGTCAGAGAAATTTCTGCTAATTATGCATTTGGGATAAGAACCCCTGCTTTACCATCTCAGGACATCATTTCAGTGCTTCCCAAACTTTTCCTCAGGATGACCCCATTTATAGCCCCATTTCCTCAGCATGACCCCATTTCCTCAGCTTGGCCTCTCACTCCCAACCCACAGCCTCCTACCCCCACGACCCCATCCGCTGATGTTGTCACCCCATTTGGAGTTACGAGCCACAGTTCAGAAACTGCTGTATTATTCCATCCCAAGATGAGGCAGGGCTCCCATCTGTAAAAAGAGACAGATGAGCCTCCCTCTAACTCAGAATTTCCTGGGAGATATAGAGCCATATCTAATGAAGATCATTACCTGGCTCTGTGCTGGCTCTGTCCTTTACTGGTTCTTTGTGCACATGTAGCTCCAGTAATTATAGTCCATCACAACAGTACATGGTATTGCTCCAATTATAGGCCAACCCTGAAGGGTGGTTACAAAGAGAATGGAGCTAGACCAGGGGTGAGAAAAATATGGCCCATGGGCCAAATTCGGCCCACCAGGCCATTCTGTCTGGCCTGTGGGGCCCCTAAAAATTTAGTAAAGAAATGTTTATTCACTCCAGGCAGCCTGTCCAAAGCTGACAGGACCCAGGGGTTGTAGGACCCAGAGGGAGCCCTCAGCAGGCTTGAGCAGCCCAGCCCCACCCTATCCCCAACCAGTTCCCTGCTTTCCTGCCCCTGCCCTGCTCCAGTACCACGTGGCTCCCAGCTGCATCACCAGACCGTGGAGCATGGGACCATGCTGGTACGCGCGCGCGCGCGTGTGTGTGTGTGTGTGTGTGGAGGGGGGGGGCTCATGAGCAGTGTGTGTGTGTTTATAGAGTGAGTCCTACATGCACAACCCACCATACACATGTACCCACACCCCTCCTCGCACTGCCATACACAAACCCCAGTCACCCTTGCCCTACACACATCCCTCCACAAGCCCCATACCCACCCACAGCCCACATATCCATCCACACACACACACACGCGCGCGCGCGTGCTCCCTCACCCCACATACCCACCCCCCACAACATACAAAAGTAAGACTTCATTTTAAGCTATTGTGCAATCACCTCTATGGGCTCAATGCAAACGCATGTAAATCAGGACAACAATATCTTTTAAATCAAATTAACGAATATTGTAGATGTTCACTTTTTAGAATATAATTTGATATGTTTCTGGTTCTGAGATGGCAAAACCCTTGCTGAAAAGAGTACTTCCGGGGCCAAGGGAAGGGACTTCTGGTGGCAAAGGTCAGGGGCCAGTGGGCGGGACTTTCAGTCACAAGATGGTGCTCAGGGGTGGGGCACCTGTCAAGGGGCGGGGCTATCTATGTGGCCCTCGACAGCTTCTCAAAACTTGGTAAGCGGCCTGCCGTCCAAAATAATTGCCCACTCATGAGCTAAATTATTCTCAGTGGTGGCAGATGACAGAACAAGGAGCAGTGGTCTCAAGTTTTTTCAATGGAAGTTTAGGTTAAATCAGGTGCCAGCTCCATGCTGGCAGTGACTGCACGGGCACCTCAGGGCAGACAGCAGGGCAGCGCAGCCTGCTCTGAGGTGCCTGTGCAGTCACCGGCAGCATGGAGCTGATGCCAGAGCTGTGGAGCCCAGTGCAGTGTTTGCAGCCTGCCCAGAGTCCAGGCTGGCTACAAACAGCTGCGCCGGGCTCCAGAGCCCAGTCACCAGCTCTGTGCCGGGAGCGGGGTAGAGATAGGGGTTGTGCTGCCTCAGGCCCCTCCCACCGCCTGCTCCAAGGCCCGTGTGCATGTGCTGCTATAGAGCTGATGCCGGGGCTCCAGAGCCTCCCAGCTGCAGCTGGCCCCAGCTCTGGGTAGCTGCTGCCAGCCAGGAGCCCGGGCTGCTCCCAGCAGGCAGCTGGGATGCTGCAAGCCTGAAAATGCAGGTATGGGCCCCACTGAGCTGGGGCCAGGGACTCCAGCTGGGGTAAAAGGGGCCAGGAGCACAGGCTGAGCTGGCCCCACATGGTGCAGGAGCTGCACACTATGGGGCCGGGTGGGGCTGGGCCCACACGCTGCCAGCATGTGCTGCTGGGGACATGGGCAGGAGCACTATAGGGTCAGGTGGGGCTGACCCCACATGCTACAAACACCTGTGTCTGGGGACTTGGGTGGGAGCATGGGAGCTGCATGCTATGGGGCTGGGTAGAGGTGACCCCACTTGCGGCCACCATGTGTGACTAGGGGCTTGGGTGGGAGTGCTGTTGGCCCTATCGGGACAGGTGGAGCTGGCCCTGCATGTTGCCCCCACCTGGAGCCGGGGACTTGTGGGGTGGAGCATGGGGAGTTGCGCACTATGGGGCTGGGCAGGGCTGGCCCTGCTCACTGCCACCACATGCAGCTTAAGGGACTTGCACACTCCAGGGACTCTGAGAGGACCCCCCCACCACACACACACCTTTCCACACACCCCCAAACTCCACTATACCCCAACACACTCCCACCCCCCACCATAACCCCACAGCCCCCACCCAAACTCCCCACCATACCCACGTACATATACATACCCACCCCTTCCCACACCATATTCACACACATGCACACTCTTGCACCCACACCCCTTCACACCTTCCCCCACACCCCTTCAGAATAGTAAGACTTTTTTGAGCTGTTCTGCAATCACTTCTATGCAAACACACACAAATCAGGACAAACATCTTTTAAAAATAAAATTAAAATACATTATAGTAGATGTTTGGATTTTTTTTTAAGTATATGATTTGGTTTTTTTCTGGTTTCAAGATGGAGCTCGCTGCCCCGCCCTTCCCCCCCCCCCAGAATACTTCTAGGGACATGGGAGGGACTTTCGTTGGCAAAGAAAAGGGGTGGGGCTTCTTGTCCCAAGATGGCGACCAGGGGGCAGGGCACCTGTCAAGGGGCAGAGCTAACCTTGTGGCCCTCAATAGCTCACCAAAACTAGTTAAGCCGCCCTCCAGCTGAAATAATTCTCCACCCTGTGTTAAATACAGAACTAGTTAGGTTTGTTTGTTTGAAGTCAGGTAGAAGGTAGGGCAGGGTGGCACTTACTAGCATCTGGTAATAGAGGTTGGTGCCTGTAAAAGTTCAAGCCTCCCTGAACCAATTAGTTTCTAAGGTGGCACCCTGCCCTAACTTCTGCTTTGCTTTTTGAGTTTAAAGTGAGTATGGAGAATAGATAACCCCAGTCAGAACTAGTGGAATGAAACTACAAATAAGGGTTCTACAATATTTACAAATAAGAATCTTTCTAAAATGTAAGACTTACATTTTGTCTGGCTTACTGGTGAATTCATTTTTGGGAAGGGAAAAAGCTAATCATCCTCCTGACTTGTATGAAAATTTAGTTCAGTTTTTTTCCAGCTTCTTCCTCTGCACAAATATATACAGGTTTCCCTCGATTTATGCGGTACATGCATTCCCGGAGAATGGCGTATAAATTAAATTCGCAGAAGGTAAACCCACTTTACAATGTAACAAATAGGGATAGGCTCCCATGGCAGTGGGGGAGGAAGGGAGGGAGTGAGGCTGGGACTAAAGAAGGGGCAGGGGGAAGGGTGCTACTCCCAGGGCTGCACAAGGCAGAAAAGCAGAGGGAACAGAGCGGTACTCACCCCAGCCCCGGCTGCAGTGGCCCCAGGAGTAACCAGCACCAGCTGCCTGCAGCCACTGGGCTGCACTGTGCTCTGTCTGTCCCCGCTCCCCATGCCTGGGGCTCTGCTTGTCCACACTCACCTCTGCTCCTGGGCTTCACCGTGCCCTGGTGCAGGCCCCTGGTGTTGGCTGGTCCTGAACTGGGGTGAGTGCAAACAAGCGGAGCCCCAGGTAGCGCA